TTGGCAAGTTGTCTCTTTAGGAGAAATTTCTAAAATAAAAATTATTTTTTTTTATTTCCTTAGGAGCTTGTCTGTCATTGGATTTTAGTTTTAATCTTTTATTTTTTATATTTTTATCTGATAAAAAGGTGTTAATTGACGGACACATTTCGAAAAAAAATGGACAGAAAATTACAATTTTCAGCTTACTAGTTTTCAAGTATAGATGAGATTGCGTCGATCTAATAAAAAGAAATAAAACTAGACAGATCGATTTGGCGTGAAATTAACTAATATAATAAATTACGGTCGTGAAAACATAAATGTATAAATTAATAATAAAAATTATAATAATGGCGTTGAAATTTAAATAGAAATAATTTGGCGTAATAAATATATAATTGACCGCCCGAGAGTTTGCTTTAGTGGAAGACGCAAAATTTATCGTGTTTATATACTCGAAGCTCAGGAGTCTAGCGGAAGTAGATGAAAGCAAGTGGTTTTGTTTGCTTTTCGGCCAACGTCTATAGCGCTATGCGTTTAGTACATACACTTTATATTACTATCTCTCTACACTTACTCATCCTCATCCGCATCCTGATCCTCATCCTCTTCCATTTACTTCTCTCATTTTCCCTCTCTCTCTTTTTCTCCCTACTTACACTTAACGATGAATATTCACCAAGATTTATCGAGGATCGATATTAGCACTAGTGGTTATTTCTATCCAATATTTGCTCCGGAATACCCGCGTGTCAAAATTAGGGGTTAATGCTTTGAATTTCCAATGAAATATAGTTAACATTGTTTTTTTTTCTCTCTTTTTGGAAAATTAAGCGGGCCATTTAATTTTTTCACGCTAAGCAGGTGCTGTAATTTAATTCAAAAAATTACTTTATTTATTGTATTTAATTTTTTGAAACAATAAAAAAATTTTTTTTCTCTTCTCAATACCATAAAGTAACATTAAAATATATTTTTGGACATTTTAAAAACTTTCGAGAGACAATTTATTACCAAATTTTCGGAGTGACTCATTTTGCCCCTCTCTTTCTTAAAGAAATAAAAAAAAAAATTACACGTTTGAATTTAAGAAAAATATGTGCTTGTTTGATAATTGTTGTACAAAAATTTATACTATTCAGTTTCAAGTAATAATTTTTCCAAATTCGACTATTAGTGAACTGCAACAGTCGTACAACCATTTATTTTTATGAAACCAAGTTATAAAGTAATATTTGTTTTTTTTTTTTTGAGAATGTGATTTTGTGATTGCTTCAGCTTAGATCTATCAAATATAATTGGCGATAAACAAACAAAAAAATACGATCGTGATTGGCAGTATTTTATCAGAACTCTCTGATCAAAAATCAAAACCAATTAAAAGTCGACCTATGAACCTCCTTCAATTAGCAACCCACCAATGAATAACCAAAAGTTAGCTCACAAATGTATATTTATCCCTCTTCTTAGCTGAAAACTATTAAGCTTGTAGTCTCATACTGTTTATGCTTTTCAACTTCAAGACTACTTCTTCGTTCCGTTGCGGAAGCCATTGTAATTCAGTAGCAATAGAAGAAATGGGTTCTCATGAAACTCCAGAATATAAACGCGTCTATCCACAATATCTATCTACACACCTACACTTGTGCATTCGTGCAAGTGTATGCAAGCGTGAATATTCTATGTACGTTAGATACAGCAAAGATAGACGAATCAATATATCCGTGACCTCGATGCGTTTTCAGCGTGTTTTTTCACACGATTATTTAATATCTCATTTTGTTTTTCCAATTTTCAGTCTACAGTTGGTCCCATCAGTTCTAATTCGCAAATTCTCGCGTCTTTAAAATCTTATCATGTACTTTCTTCTTTCTTATTCTCCTTCTTCCTCGAGAGTATTAATATCTCAATCGTGCCGATGGAGATACCAATAAAACTGTCAATTTAACCAGTCTTTTATTTATAAAAAAAACAATCTATCTACCATCGCTAAACGATTTGTTCATAAGCGGTCTTCTTATTGTGTCTACTTGAGCACGTATTGTTTGATTATCTCATACTCATCCTCGTCAGTAAATAAAAATTTTATCATTTTTTATTTTTTAACTTTAACGTCGCTATTTATTTTATTTTATTTTTAAAGTATCTAATCGAGTATGGGGGGAGAATGAAATAATAGACAATATTATAGTATGTAGTAGAAAATAGGGGAAAAAAAATTTTGCAGCTAATTAATTTTAATTAAAAAATTTCATTAATAATAATTGAGCAAAAAAAGATCTTCAAGCCCTTTTTCAGCTCAGAGAAAAAGTCAAAAAATAAAAATAATTTTTTTAATATTGAACTAAATCTTGGCTCTTAAAAAAATATTTTTTCAGAGAAAAATGATCAATTTTTAATTTTAATATTGAAATTTAGTGATAAATATTAATTATCTTTAATTTCGTTGAATAATTTCAGCAGGTTTGAACTAAATATTCTGTCATATCAGATCTTAAGAATTTAAAGATCTTAATTTTATTTAAAAAATAACTTTCAAGAAATGTTAATTATCAAAAATCAAAAGTTAGCTGACGTTTTTATGTTTTGTCGACCGTAAAAAAAGAAATAACAATTATTTAACTAAAATTTTAAGTCACTTAAACTTTAACGTAATTATTTACTTTATTCAATATCTAATTGACTACAGGATAATGGTAAAATAATAGACAATCGATATGTTTTATATATATACTTAGTTTTTTATCTGGATAAATTTATTTACAAGAGTAAAATATTATATACAAGGTTGAAAATATGGACGTAAAAATAAGATGACAATGGGAACACAGCCAAGTAACTGTTGTATATTTAAATAAATCAGGGTACCTTATTGATTAGTTGTCTCATCTCTTAAACTCCCGAGTTACTTTTCTCTATTATTTATTTATTTTTTTTGTCTTATTTACTTATACTTACTTACTTTTTTTTTTTTATTTTTCATTTTATGTAAATTCTTATCATTTATTCACTTACGTACTTGTCTTATGTACTTATCATTGTTATTTAAAATTTTTTTGTTTTACTGTAAACGAGTGTGTTCATTAGTACATTTAAATTTTATATTTTTGTCTTAAACTCGTCCTATAAGATAGTATGACACATATTTTGACATTTAACTGTGCGATTTATATCGGGATACTGGTTTGGGAAATAATTTCTAAGCCTTAATCATTTGGGACTTATAAAATGTATAAGAATAAAAAAAAGTCAAATGCTAAATTAGTAAGAAAACGAATAAAAAAAAACATCACAAATTGACATCTTTTGAATTTTCAATATCTCGGTAATGATGCAACTCGTTTTGAATGACGAGGGAATTATCGGGAACTCGAGACCCGCAAGTCGGACAATAGGTATAGGGACAAGTGATGAAAATAGAATAGAAAAAGGAAAAGAGAAAAAAAGATAAAAGGGCAAAAAAATCCATACGAAGTAAGAACTAAAGTTAAAAAGGCATAGGTTTTATCCTGTGGAACGAGCGCCGAACAATTGTGAAAGAGCTCGAACGTCGTTACCTACAAACAATATTGTTTTAATCCTGCTCAGGTATATATATATTTTTATTTCTTCACTCTCACTCTCACTCTCCTCTGTAGAGTTCTTGTTCTTGTTCTTGTTTTATTTTTATTATTTAGTTTTTTTGTCGTTATTTTTTATGCTACTTCTTTTAGTCGTCTCATCTCCCGTAAGTCACTTCTGGGACACCCGATGTTCCATAGCTGATGAAAAGTTTCATCACGACAAGGAATATTCTTTAACAAGACTTTTAATTAATTATGTGGAACAATATAACGACGAGCGAAAAATTTTCTTAGTCGAGATTAAAATTGCCTGGTTTAGACTACATATGTTTCATTCCTATTTATATTTAAAGAATACAAAATCCTTTTTTATTTTTTTACTCATTATATTATTTTATATTATTATTATTATTCTTAATAAATCAAACGATAGCAATGATAAGACATTTCGCGTTTCTAATATCAAAAAAACATCATTTTTCTGTTTTAAATCAAACCGCTGAAATTTAGAAAATAATAAACCAATGCTTTCATCTAGTATGTAATCATAGGTAAAAATATATAAATTTATTGTTAAAATTGATTGATTGAGCATTATGAACGAATGTAAATTCAAGTATTAAATGTTGATATATATTATTGATTAAGATAAAATTCGTCTCGTTATTTTGTATTGCGTTAATAGTAATGTGTAAAAAAAAAAATAATAATTAATAGTAGGTGTAAAAAATAATCAATACAAAATCTCGTTTGATTAATAACGTAGTAGATTTATCGATGCAACGTCGGGTTGGAAAAATAGAGACAGAGATTATTTTTTTATTGATTAGTACTTTCAATTATACAAAATATTGATTTTGTTATTTTCCGTCATTGTCTCAATTTTTATTGAAATTTGAACGGTACTTTTGTGAAATAGAATAAAAACTGTATTTTCTCACAAAACTCAATGTTAAATGCGGAAATTTTTAAAATTAGCTCTTCAACAAATTAATGAGGTTCTCTTACGATAATCTATTAATAAACCAACTTTTGTTAAATTTTGACCAGAATTTCTACACTATATAAAAAAAAAAATAAATCTTGAATTCTGCTAGTAAAATTCTATATTTCATAATATATGCCTCTCTGACAATAGATACGTGACAAACTAAAGAACCGAACTATCTCGACAATTGAGCAAATAAACCCGTCCAAAAATGTCATTCCAAGAATATTCCTCATCATTATCGACAATTCAATACTTATTTTCATTACCCATAATCCATCGGGTGTCAGAGTTTGTGCAATAAACATTTTACTTATCAAATTATAAATTCAATGAGATATTAAGTATTATTTCAATAATAATTATCATAATTTCTGATTTATTTTTTGCTAACATTGCCCACACACTCACGCATCGTTTAATTTCACACACGTAAATCCGCGGTAATTCCGTAGTGCATCATATTATCTGAACTGGCCGATGATAAGTGCGAGCAATAGGTACGCGCCGGATGTTGGCATGCCCACTGCAGTATTGCCATGTTGCATCGCTGCAGGATGTTCGCCTGAAACATTACCAAATTATCTTATTATTTATCACCGGTCAATTGATAAATTACCGAGTTATGAATAGCTAATTCTTTTTTCTTTTAAAGTAATTGAAAATTTTGATAAAGAATCGGTAACAAACATGTCGCGTAATAAACTCGGTATCGCTGCGGGGCAACTTTGGATCAGTTAATTTGTTCGCGCCATAGAAATAAATTTTTTCTTTTTACTTTATTTAATCTTGATAACAGAATCTTCGAATCGATTTTTATTTCTGTTCCTTGAGGCAATTACAAGCTATCCAATTCTCATCTTAAATTTTAAGGTTCAGATCTGTAGTTTACAATCAGAAGTATGATGTTAAGGAAGTTAGATCACACATATTGAAGTGTGCTCAATATGGCACAGTTTATGCTCTCATTGACTATATTTTATTCACTTTTACTCATGACAATTTGCGAATACTTTAACAATTTATTAATCATGTCTAAGAAATTATATTGTAATTACGAGTCAAACTTGTTTTAAAAAATTTATTATTTGTTGCTTAATACACGGAAAAAATTAAACTGTAAAACGGCAAACATATGAATATTACAGAACTTAATGTAGAAAGAGTAAAAACCACAATTTATAATTCAATATCAAAAATAAGTGATTAGTAGCTGTCACTATAGTGAATAACGACTCTTTCATCTTAAAAAATTACAGTTTCAAACAGTAAAAGTTGCCATTTCAATATATAGTCCATACTATGAGGAGAAAGGGAACTCAGATGAGGAGAAGGGGGTCTCACTCTGGGAGAATTTAACATTTGAAACAGTAAAAATTCTACTTTTAAAATATACATTTTACCAGTCCAAGCTAGTCAATAAATATAGTTTGATTTTTAGCGTTGCGTTTAAAATTTACCATTTTACTTTGTAAATATTGACGTTGCTTGTATTAGAAATTTAGTAACTTTATTTTATACTTTTTACATATCATGCGATCATTTTTTAGATACCAAATGATAAATATCAAAGTCAAAAGTCTTAATTATTATACTTTAACATTTTCGACATTCACATAGCGAATATTACTGTTTGAAATAGTATTTTCTTCCATGTAAAGAATAAATTGTAGCGTTTAAATGATAAATATTATAAAGTGAATAGTAAAATCACGATTTTACTGTTTGAAATGGTAATTTTTAGCAGTTCATCATTACTATTACTTATTATAGATTGACTATTATTTATTAGTTTACTTTTTTCCGTGCATATATACAGGTCATCAAATGCCAATTTAATAATGTTTTATCATGTTGAAAATAATAAAAAAAAATACATTTGACGGTATAAACCACCTCAATAATAAAACTTTTGGCTTAAAAAAGCTTAAAAAAAAAGGATAAAGCTTAAAAAAATGAATTTAATTAAAATCAAACATTTGTAAAATAATTTATGATCAAAAACGTTAATAGTATGTTTGAGTAATTAGTTCACAGAGAAGCTACATTGTCACAAGGATTTTGTACAGCCTGTGGCGAGATATTAGCGCAAGCACGAAAAGCATTGTTGGCATAATTGTCGAAGTCAGCGGGAAACCGGAGGTAAAGCTTGTAAAGAGGATCGACAAGTTTTGCTAGAGAGTCCACATACACTGATACCCACATAAAAGTATATATCTCTATATGTTATACATATAATCTGTATAAAGATGTTTGTGTGTGTTTATCTATGTGATATAGAGTACCGTAGACTCAATTGGTAATGCGCTGAAGCGAGTATGCCGATGGCTGCACAACTTTCAGGGATTGTACGTGTTCGAGGTGCGCTTTTGGGCTTGTCTACTTGGCACTGATTTGATTCCGATACCGCTCGTCCCTAGCGTCAACTTATTGCCTGAATTTATGGCACGGGAGTTTCCTCATGTGTCTCCATCGTCGTGATACTGCCTCTGGGAGCTCCGGATATAGAAAGAAAAGATCGATCGGCAAAATAAACCAATAACTAAAAACGATGAATGAACGATATATATTCTTCGATTTAAATTTATTTATATAGAATGGTGCTCTTTGCTCTTTCTTTGAACTATATTTTATTCGAGAGGTGTTTTATGTTGGGTAATTTTTTTTTATTTCAGTTTAATTTATTTGTTCATATTTTTTTCTCTTGAACTTAAAGTCTGAACTTTTTTATAAAAGTTTTTCCATATGATACATTTAATTAAGTTTTAAAAATAAAAAACTAGCAGATTTATAAAAAAAAAAATGATTGCAACAGTAAAATTTCATCAAAAAGGTAAAAGGCTAGATAAATTTTTTGTATCTTCAAAATTTTAATTCTAACTTTTATCGAATTATCTCAACTGCATTAAAATTTTTATCATTTGTTTTTACTTGAACCAAAATAGTTACAACTTATAACTTATGACTCATGCCAAAGCTCGTTTTTACGCATAAATAATAAAGTTTCTGAGCTCCCTGAGCTCTAGACTAAAGTTTAAGGTCTGGCCTGCGGAGTAAACTGTTTTTTAAAATTTTTTTTTAGGTATTGACCCACATATTTCTTTCTTTTCAAGCTTAAACTTCTCACGTTTCTTTCACCAGCATGAAACAGTTTCTTCTATTCATGAACTTCAAAAAAAAAAAAAAATATAAAAAAAAACTTTAATAATAATAAAAAAAAGAGAGTTTGTATCTCCGGAAGTGAAATGCAATTTTATTGTATATTTTGTTTACTCATCATACATGTAGTATCGGATTTTATTGGATAGGATACTAAATGTTTATTAAAGATGTTATTATTAAGGTATCACGGGGCGGTTAATTTAAAGTGAGTATTTATTAGAAAAATTGACAGAGTTAAAAGACAGAGGTCTGTCGTACATCGAAGTTAAGTAGGAACTGCCTGCTTGAGTCCCATACAATTAGATCTTTACTTACTACCTGGGTTTCTCACCCCCGCATCAGTCATACGTCGTTCTTACACTCTCGGTACTTATAATGTACATTTTTGCCACGAGACAAATCTATACTTACGTTCCCACGCATACGAATATTTTCTAAACTATCTTAACTAAACATCTGTTATTTGGGAATTTTTCTTAATCCCTTTATTTACAACCTTTTCGAAAAAATACTTACTGCTAAGTACAAAGGTGCAATAAATATTTATCCATCATTTATAAATATTTATTTTTCTGTATCGAGTACAATTTCATAAATTCGCTTTGTTTAGCCTTCAAATCATAAAAAACAACTATATGTAAACACAGTGAAGGTAACTCGAATAATGAACCGTTGAAAAAAAATATCCATCGAAATGTTTAACCAAACCCATCGAAAAATAAAAATATACTAAAATATAATAATAGAAAATAAAATAAAATAAACTAACACTGAAAGATGAGGCGGGTGTAAAAAGTAAAATGGGAAAAACAGTATGTGAATGCAATGTGCACGTTTCATCAATATTTGCGAAAAGTGTTGTAGTCAATGCACGAGTGCAGACGAGGTAAAATGCACTTTGGAAAATTGCGCGTCCGGTAAACATCCAATCGCAGATGTATGTTTACACCCAGTTACACTCTCTAGTATTTAATTATATTCGTGATAAATTTTGTTGAATATGTCCAATTGCACACGTGACCTCGCTACTACGTGAGTTCATTATAATGGAAATAAAAAAAAAAAATACTTACATGTATGAATGAATAAACACTGAACTAATTAAAAATAAATAACTATGCGTCGATAGGATTTATTAGTCGCAATAAAGTCAGACTTATTAAATTAAAATAATTGAGCAATCTGTAGTCATTTTTGAAATAAATTTCAAAAATGATATCGCTATAGTATCAATTATACTGACAATTAAATGGACAAATATAACCGAACAAATTTACAGAATTAACAAATTATTCAAAAAATCCTCGAAAAAACTGACTTTTACACAAAAATATATAAAATCGTAAAAATGCATTAATTCCGGTGAATTTTTTTGTGATACAAAATTTAACGAGAAAAATTCTTTTTGCAATAAAAATATATCCGCTAAAAAATGTTCATTTTTCTTTTAATTACTTATATTATAAATTGAATATCACGGTAAAAATATCAAACCGTGAAAAGTACTAAATTCGGATTACGACTTTTTTTTATGGTATCGACTTTCATTAAAAAAACACATTTTATCATAAATACGCCTGTCACAAAATTGTCCTTATTTTTTAAAATTATTTATGGATTAATATTTGACATGGAACTGAATTTAAAGGTCCAAAGAAAGAAACTACCTAATATTTAGCGGGAAATTGAATAACTATCACCGTTCCAATTATCCTAAATTTAGCCAAGAAAACATATTTTATCACAAACATATCCTGAAGAGAAAATTCTCCTTATTCTTTTAATTATATTAATGATTAAAGCTCTTTTGTTTTTGTTACTAAAAATTTTTTAAAATTTCGTATTAGTAACCTTATTAAATCCAACGAAATCCCTTCATCAGTGTTTATGATAGCAATTAATTTTGTTTGCATTCAACTTAAAATTGAGCTCAAAAAATTACGCGGATTTTATGCTCAGAAGTAACTCGTCGGTATGTCTCGGAGATGATATTCGCTTTCTTTTAATTCGTGCGTATTCAGCAGCAGTTTTCGAGCATAAATCAGTTTTGATTAAGCTTCCTCTAGTACTAGTCGGTACAGTTCTATTAGGATGCATACGAGTTATAAGCCTGTTAGTAGTACTGAGAAACGCTAAGTGGAGGAGAGGCAAAAACGTACTCCCTTTTGCAGTTGCCCAGGTGAAATGTTACGTAGAAACTTGGAATACTGAATCGCGGGAAAACTCAGGAGCTTTTTCACTTTATTATTATTATTATTATTATTTCTATTATTACTTCTTTTTTTACCCATCGTGTTCCCTCATATCCGAGACTTTATTACCGACATACAGCGGTAACAATTGTACAATGCACACTTATAGTTTCTCTATTAATTTTTTTACTCTTTTTACGTGCTTGTGTGTCAGTGAGACATTACTTTTGTTGTGAAATTTTACCTTGTTTAGTAATAATTGCATTTACATTTGTATTAACTTCAGTATGAATATTTTTTTTTTTATTATAAACATTAAATTTTATTAATCGGTTTAATGTGTTGCAGAGAATAAATTTTTCATTGGCTATTAAAAATCTAGTTTTAATTTTTATTTTTATTGCCAATACAATTTTTAATAGATTGATGAGAAATTTTATTTTAGCTACACGGAGAGAAATTTATAGGAATCTGTCACACGAATTTTATTCGTGTGTGCGTCCCTCTCTGCGCCTAATGTTGGCAACAGATCCACACTCGGTGTGTCTCATAGTTTTAAGATTTTCATATTAATTTATTGACTTATATACCGTATATCATTTTACATTATATATATTTGACAATTTATATACTATGGTTATTAGTTTTTAAGTATTAATTTTGGTATTTATTTCAGCAATTGTATTGGAATGTTTATAATTTATTATTTCATTGTATATTAATTATTGATAACCAGTCGTAGCCCTTGCTCGCGCGGGTAATTTCCTGTAGTATCGATGGCGAGCATAGGGATCAATAATTTCAGAAAACGACTTGAGAGGCCCTCGTATTCGGACACGAGGTCTCATAGCTTTTCAGAAAATAAAAAATCGGGAGACACGCGGCAACCTGCAAAGTGTAAGAGTGTGGATCTGGCACCTTTGATCGAGTTCCCTTTTTTTGGTGAGTACTCGCAAGTTGAGCCATTTTATTAACCACGCACCGTGCTGTCTCCCGGCGAACAGATTAGTATTTGAAGCCGGTATTAATTATTCGAGCCAGCCAGTATTATTTATTTTTATTATTTTGTCGAGATAACCCGACTGGGGATTTCGGGTTGATCTCATTTCAATAATATATAGATATAATTTCTATCTTATAACCAGCGACGTCGTAGATTAATAATATACTCAGGATTTATATTAATAATTAATAATTGTACGCGGAAAAATTATTATTATTGTTATTTTATATAGTCCACCCGGCGAAGGAATCCGGCTCTGGACTTAGCTTTAAGTATTTTTTTTGTTTGAATAAATAGCTTATTATTTTATTAATATCGCGACTAATTGAATAATAATTTAATATACGTAGTTTATTTCCTCCCTTCTTTCCTAATATTAGTATATTATTTGTCTTCCCCTGAATACCTGCAGATTGGCCCTGAAAATAAAGGGTTTGTTGTTTCCCTAAGTCAAAGAACAACTGGCGTCCAAGAAAATCGTGCACTAACCCAGCCTGAAGAAGAGCTGCTGGTTGCTTGGGAGGCGAAGAGTTCCCTCCCAAGTCCATTTTTTTGTTTGTTTAGTTTTGTATTGGGCGACCTGGACAATATTACGTCTCCACTGACCGCTCCACTGTCAGCTGGAGCGTAATTTTTGTTACAAATCTTTCCAACAATTATGGGAATGGATCCTATAATAAAATTATCATTATAGGCATTAATCCTATACTCATTATGGGAACCATACCCATAATTTATGGGAAACGTTTCTATACAATAATGAAATGGCTTCAATATATTATGGGAATGGTTCCTATAATAAGAATCACTTAATCAAAAAAAAATTAAATCTAGTGAAAGTAATTAATTAAATACCACAGTTGTGTGCAAAAAAAATTACTCCAATATTATTGGCATCATTCCTATAATATTATGGGAATGGTTCCTATAATATTATAGGAATAGTTCCTATAATATTATGGAAACTATTCCTATATATTATGGGAACCATTCCTATATATTATGGGAATCATGCCGATATTACAGTTTTAATTATAGGTATCGTTCCTATAATTATAGGAACCATTCCCATAATTATAGTAATGTTTCCCAAAAATTATGGGTATAATTCCCATAATTTAAGTAATCGCTCCTAAAATGGTATAGGAAAATATTTCATTAAAATTATAGGAATGATTTCCATATTTTTCTCTCCGTGTATTACATAAAAATCACAAACAAAAACTTTTTATTAAACAATTTATTTAAAAAAAAAATTGTTTTTTTTTAGTTCCTAAAAAAAGTAATTTCAAATTTTTGAAAAAAGAACTAAATTTAATTAAAAAAAATTGTTCCAGCGTTCAAAAAGTGTAACATTTACGTATTCGGAACATTTTTAATGCTTAAAATATATCTTATACATTAATGATTGAATAATAAATTATTTACCATTGATAACGTGAACGATGACGCTGGCTCTTTTGGCAGTAGTTGGCACACAGCTGTAATTCCCCGAGTCGGTCACTCTCGCCGAGAAAATCTTTAATCTGTAGCAAGCAAACGTTTGCTGCATTAGATTTTTTGTCGAGGATCCATACCTTTTTTTTGTGTATAATATATTATGCGCATCATCCAAGAGTACACATTCAGAGGGCTTTATATAGTCGTAGTAGGTTTGCAAAAAAATGAAAAATACGGTACAGCCACAAAGAAGAAGAAAGGGGACCAGACAGAATTAATAATAGAGGGATTACAGAGCAGACTCGATAATCCCTTTGGTCTATCAACGTTTTTCATCCAAAAAAACATCATTTTGTATTTTCTATTCTAGCAATTTTTCTTTTTATATATTTACATATATATGTCTTATTATATGATATTAACTTAATTAAATACAGACCTCGATTCAAGAGCTTCGCTCCATTCAGTCTCGACAGTGATTCGTGGCTGTTGGTCAACGTCATTCTCACTTCTCGCGGACGTCACGACCGGTTGGTTGTCACGAAACCAAGCCACCGTTCCCAAGTCATGTGGCCCTTGAGACATACGGCAGTTCAATGTGAGAACGCTGCCCGTTTTAACATAAATATCCCCTTTGGCCATTATTTGCGCCTGAGGCTCTGAAACCACAGAAAAAAAAAAACAATGTTTTTTATTTAATATAATGAGTAAAATAATACGGAGATAATAAAAGTAAAATAGTAAACCGGATAAATAGTGAGGTTGTTTAGTCTTGTTAAATGTCAAAGAGTTGTTCTCCTGTAGACATAAACACTGGGATATAACGTCATTTGAGAGGACGAAAACTCCCTCTACTCGTTTGCCTAGCAAATGGTGAAAAGAGACACCCCTTTACGAGTCGAAGAAAAGACATCGTCAATGTCATTATCTTTTATCGCACGACTGGGAGGTATTTTGACCTTTTTTCTTATTTTATTTTATCTCTCTTCTCTTTCAACGGCCCTGCTGTTATGCTAGAAACTCCTGTATGCTAATCTGCTGACAACACATTCACTAAATCCGGAGGTTAAAAAGCGAAAAAAAACTAATGAATGAATAAATATATCGTTTAAATTGATAAAATATACTTTAGTTTTTTTTATACTTAAGATATTTTTTTGTTAGAAAGATTTTAAAATTCGTAAAAAAAATTTTTTAATATTAATGCCTTTCTAATTTTCTAATTTAACGTTATATTTATTGAAAATTTTAACCACAACGTTGTAGCAACAATTTTTGCCATTTTGGTATTTTATGTGAAATTAAAAATTGAAGTTATACTATAAAATTAACTCAAAAAGTAATCATGGAGATCTAGGTTCGATCCCTAGCTTAGTTCGATCTTGATATTTATTTTAGAAGTTATTCTTGTACGTTTTAGTAAATTTATATTTTGACTTTGATTGTAAATTAAATAAAAATTCACCAAAATCGCAAAAATTTTTGCAAAAATATTGTGATTAAAATTTTCAATAAATATAACGTTGAATTACAAAATTAAGAATACTTTAATATTGAAAAAATTATTATTACAAATTAAAAAAATTATCAATCTTCATAACTGCTATTACTATTAATTAATACTAATATTAAATTCAATTCAAAAAGTTTAATGACTATTTCATTATTATTATTTTAGTAGTGAGCAGAAGATTATATTTTTTATCTGGTTTTTGTCGTGAAGTTTTGTTGGTACGGGCTAAATCATCCGACAAATCTATTTATTGACGTTTTTAAAGTTTATTTAGTTGTGAATGACAAAGCATCAATTTTTTATTTTTTATTTTATTGACGTGTCCTAAGGAAATTCAATAGCTGCCCGTTTTAGAATAAAAAAAACTAATATTGAGTCGGGATTTTTTTATGGTAGTTTTTTATCGCTCATGAGAGTCATAAAATTAAAAGAGTGTTATGTCACCGAAAAATTTATTTAATGAAAGGATTATAAAAGTGGGTTTGATGAAAATTTATCGGTAATATTTGTGAGTCACGGGCATGGATGATAATAATTTAAACTCCATTGTGCTTCTCAGTAATTTAGTATTGACACATACGTGTCGATTTATGTGCATATAATGAATTAATTAGTTACAATTAAATATTTGTAACTGTTTGAATAAATAATATTAATTAATTAAATAGCTTATAAATTAATTATTATGTTTTGTACACATATATATTTATCATCGTATTAATAGACGTGTCCAAGTTATAAATTAATTAAACGGATTTATAACCATAAATTAATAATTTTCACGGTTCAGATAATAAATTGTTTATGCCTGAGATACTTTGTCTGCTAAAAAGTCAACAATAAAAAAACTATTTAAATTCTTCTTTGGTTTCTACTCTTATTGTGGAAAGTTTGATGAAAAATTTTTCATCGATCGAGATTAAAAATTTAATTATCAATGTAGCTATGGGTTGCTGAGGTTAAAATAAAAAAAAAAGTTATTTTAAACGGAGAAAAAAAGTAATCCAGTCTTAAACGTGACTTAAAAACAAACCACAGAAAGGGTGGACGCATCCGGAAGCGGAAGAAAGCGAAGAAGAAAATGATAATAATAATAAAATATAAATCTATATGTATATACATAATGAAGAAATAGCCGCGGAGAAAGGTCACGGTATAAAAAAAAAAAAAAAAAACGCGAATTAAATTTTTTTACTGGTTAAAGCATGTTCTGTGAATAAAGTTTGAAGAGCACACATTTCAGGTCATGTTTACGTGGCACAAAAAAATATGATGCATGCCAAGCATTGCGTAAAACCATTTTTTTTTTCTAAATTCTTCTTGCTCTCTGAAGTTTCATAATACCCTTAAATTAATTTTATAATTATATATACATATTTTCTGGCAATTAAAATGAAAGTAGACTCTGTATACAAGCGAATTTTCACCTCTTCGTTCATTTTTTTCATAATTATATGATAAATACAATGGGTATGTTTTTTGAAAATTAATATCATTAAAATATCGAAGCGGAAATATAAGCGACCTATTCAGTTTCTATTGTTAACGGTGTAAAACATCAGAAGTTCCGACTGAAATTCTATATTTTATTATTGCAGCAAAAGTTAGTCATGAACTTTGTCAGTAATTAGTTAGAAAAAGCTCTTGAACTTTATTACTAAACAAATAATAATTAATTACAACTTTTCAATGCTTTCTAGGAATGTGTATGTTAATTAGTATGTTTCATTAAGCAAAAATTGCTTTGGTAGAGTTATCTAAAGTTCAGTATCAGATAAGCCTCTTAAGAGAGTGAAAAACGTCATTTTTATTTTATCTCTTAATACCTTAAACTTAATTCTCTTGTAATGAGACGATTTGGCAACCATGCGCCCTCTGTTGGAAAATTTCAACACTATTTTTGGTCGAAAAGATGTATACGGGCATTTGTGGTCCTACTAGGCCTATTATGGGCATATCAAGTCATATTAGAACATATATAAAGTCAGGCATGTCTATATATGGCCTTAAATGAACATTTTTTTATATGAGGCCACATTTCGACCTATCAGAAATTATATATGGACGTATCAGACCAAATCAGGAAATTTTTCATGTCAATATGTCAACATTTCTTTATTAATTGGTTACTTTTATTAAAAATTTATTGATTATATTGTTTATTATAAAAAAATCAACGAGTACATGACAGACTGACATTCAACCTTAAATTTCACTTTACATGAATCCTGATATAATAAAAAAAAACTAGGTCAATTAATTAAGTCTTTTTAGCTTAATTGTAATTGCATCCGTACATCCGATCTACGGAGCAATAGACGTTGACGTAAAAACTTTTCCAATTGGATTTTTCTCAATAATTATCTCTAGTTAACAACTATTCACCGATATAAACTTTGTAATCGAAGTGTCTTTTTTAAAGAGTATTATACGTTATTTATTATACATACAGTCGGTTGAAAAAATAATTTCGTTATTGTTCATCTACCAAAAAAGCTATGGAACATAATTTCACGATCAAACGGCCAATAGAAAAGTAATTTGGATTATTTCGGGAAAAATAAATTCACTGAGGAATAAATAGATTTTCTATTTCAGCGCGATATTTCACGGTAAATTATCAATAACGGGCGAAAAGTAGTAAAATAAAGCAGAAAGTTTGATAGATAGGAGCAGGAGCAGTAGCGTGGAGTAAAACAAAGAAAAGACCAAAAAATAAAGTGATTTTCTATTCGCGGAACGCCAGGGTGAAGGAATCGATGAAACGAACAGAGTGAATGAGAAGAAGGTTGTACGAGTCTGGATTCGTTAATACTCGTACTGGCACCAGGCACCCGTATTGCCAGACGTTAGTAAAATGGATTTATTACGTTTCCAAGTTGAACAATGTCCGAGGGAAGTTCCTATCACCGGGTGACTTTAATCAAGTTCGAGATGAGTTCTAGCTTCGCGCTACTCACCGACGTGGTACCGATGGAATAGAACTCGAGGATAAACGACGACTGCCTTTATACTTCGTATTCGCCTATCCTGCCTACACCTTTACCCACATACAGCCGAGAGAAGTCCAGAGTCAGAGTAAGACAGACTGAGGCTGAGACTAATATAATGCTAGAAAACAAACTCCGGGGTTTGGTGAATTACTTGGCCAAAGTTCAACCGTACCTTCACATTCAAGTCCATTCTCACCTTTGTTCCACCTTTTATTCACATTGTCAAAAGCTTTATCTGCTGGTTAGTTCGTTTCTTCCTTCGTTTGATGCTATACATATATATGGGCCATTCATTTCACTATTTGAAGATTTTTTTAAATTAAACAACTTTTTCAATTAAATTTTGTATAGTTTTTAATAAATTTGTTTTCATAATATTTGTAAATAGTCAGAAATTTCAGAATTAATTTTTGACACTAATAAAAAATTAAAAATTAAAATCAACGTGAAAAAAAAATTTTTTTTTTAATTGTTACATTTTTTTATGCTTAGAAAAAATATGAGTTTTAAGTCTTTGATCATTTTGGGTCAAGCAAAAAATTTTTGAATCAAGTTAAATTTATTTGAATCAAAAACAATTTCTCAGGTCAAGAATTTTTCTGATTCGAGAAATGAAATTTTTTATAACAATTATCGTAGTCTAAAATTTATCTCATGTATCAAGTTAATTTTTTATCAACTAAAAAACAAATGCTAACTAAAAAAAAAAAAACAAAATTGTAAAAATTTCGAGTTTTATAAATTGAGTTTAAGGGGCCATTCATTAATTACGTAAGGATATTGAGGGGGAAGGGGGGTGAAATTAATTCTTACGTAATATTTCGTGAATCAAAATTCATTATTAAAAAAACCTAATTTCATTTTGGATTCCAAATAGTTTTCTTATTTTTAAAGTGTACAGTCAAATTTTTATTTTATTCAAATAATTTTTATTGCTTATTGAAAAAAAAAAAATAACATTAAAATTTCATATGTTTTTATGGTTATCCATGTTTGGTTCTAGAGAAAAAATTTTAGTATTTTTCCGTATGTGATCGTATTTTTACTATTGAAAAAATACAAAACATTTTTTGCTAGAAAACATCATTACTTGTTAAAAAATAAAAATGATGAATCCACGTTGACCTGTTAGTTTTAGTGAAACTGATCCTTT